CAGTTAATTGAATTCATCTATCAGGGTCTGAAGTTTTCTTGTTGGAAGGTTTTTGATAATGATTTCAATTTTTTTGAAACTGATAGAGGGCTATTTAGATTTTTCTGTTCCTTTGTGTCTCCATTTGCAAGTATCTGTTCAGCTATTCTATAAATTGGTGAATATGGGGTATTAAAATCTAACTGTGATTATGAAGTAGTCTCTATTTACTTTAATTCTGGCAAATTTTTGTTTTTCCATTTTATCTAAGTTGTCAAATTTGTTGGCATAAAGTTGTTATCTCTCTGTCATTTGTAGGGTTTCTAGTGATAATCCCTCTTTTATTCCTGATACTATAATAATTTATGTTCTTTCTCTTTTTATTCTTCATTAGTCTAGCTAGGGGTTTATCAGTTTTATTTCTCATTTCAAACTAACCAGCTTTTTTTTTTTTTTTTTTAATTGTGATTTGGGTGAAACTTTACAGAGCAAATTCACTTTCCATATAGCAGTTCATATACACTTTTGTCTCATGACATTGATTACAATCTACCACAATGCAACAGCTTCCTTCCTACTTCCTCCCCATAGTTACCTCTTCTCTGTGTCCTTCCCTCCATGCACTCTTGCCCCCTGAGCTGTCTCCCTGTGCATACACAGCCCTCCTCCTCTTCCATGATTGTTCTCTCCAAGGAGTGTATCTACTTAGTGTAAATGTTCACCTCATATGTCTGTTGTTTGTTTGGCTGGAAGCCACAGGAGTGGGTTTAATTCCAGACCTGAAGGGCAGCTAGAGGCCATAGTCTCAGTGGTTCCGTCAGGCTCTGTCAGACCAGCAAACCTGGTCCCTTTTTTCTTTTTTCAAATGATTTTGAGATTTGTTCCACATTGTTCTCCCACTCTATCCAGGATCTCCTACATAGATCCCCCTCCAAATGGTTGACTAACCAATTTTTTTTTTTACCTTTGCTGATTTTGCCAGTTGTTTGTTTTCTGTTTCATTGTTTTTTGCTGTTTATTATTTCCTTCCTTCTACTTTGAGTTTACTTTGTTCTTCACTTTCTAGCTTCTTAGGATGGAAGTTTAGGTCATTAATTTAAGCATTTCATGATCCAAATTGCTCTCTGAGTATTGCTTTAGTGACAGCCCACAAATTTGGTTCTGATTTAGAATGCTTAAATTTATCATTTAGTTTGAAGTAATTTCAAATTTTCCTGGTGATTTCTTCTTTGCCATATGCATTATTTGGAAGTGTATTGTTAATTTCTAGATTTTGAGGTTTCTGTAAATATTGTTATTGATTTCTAATTTAACTTGATCATGATCAGAAGACATAAAAATTATGAACATACACACCTAATTACAGTGCTTCAAATTATATGAAAACAAAAATTGACAGACTTAAATGGAGAGCAGACAAATACTGATCAGACCATGATCGGAGAACATATAATTTCAGTCCTTTTGTGTCTTGTTTTATGGCCCAGCCTATGATCTGTGTTGATCAACATACCATGTGTACTTGAAAAGAATGTGCATTCTGCAGTTGTTGGGTGTAGCATTCTATAAATATTCATTAGGCAAAGGTAGTTGATAATGTTTATTTCTTCCATGTCTTCACTGACTTTTTGTCTAGTTCTGTCAGTTGCTGAAAGAGGGGTTTAAAAAATCTCCAACTATGATTTTGTCTGTTTACCATTTAATTCTGTCAATTTTTGTTTTCATGTAATTTGAAACTCTGTAATTAGGTGTGTATATTTATGATCTTTATGGTTGCTTGATGAATTGACCCTCCTATTTTGAAATGCCTGTCTTTATCTCTGGCATTATTTATTGTTAATATATCTGCTTTGTTTGATATTAATATAGCCACTTTAGCTTTCTTTTGATTAGTGATTGCATGGCATACTTTTTTCATCTACTTATTTTCAACCTATGACTTTATATTTAAAGTGCATTTCTTGGAGACAGCTGTTAAGTCTAGCCAGTGAATTACTTATTTCAGATATTGTTTATTTTAATTCTAGAATATTCCTTTGGTTCTTTTTTTTTTTTTTTAAATAGTTTATTTCTCCTCTGAGATTTTCTATTTTATCATTTATTACAGGAGTATTTCGTGTAATTCATAAAGCATAGTTTTAATGTTATTGTTATGTTAGCTGCCATGGAGTTGGCCCACACTCATGGTAACTCCATGTGTTCCTACTTTAAGATTCTTATCTGCAAATTTCAACAATCTACTTCTGTAGAGATAACGCCTCGGAAACCCAAGGAGGGGTCGCTATGTGTCGGAAAGGAGTCGACGGCAGTGAGTTTTTTTTGTTTTTGTTTTTTGGTCATATCAAAATTGGTCTGGATTACCTTTTTCTTGAGAATGTGTCACATTTTCCTGTTTTCTCAAATGTTCAATAATTTTGGGTTCTGTTTTAGATATGGGAATACCGTGTTATGGAGACTGTAGGCTCTGATATATTCCATGAAAGAATGTTAGTGGTTTTTATGTTTGTGTGTTTTGTTTTAGCAAGCAGTTAACTTGGTTTGACTAAAACTGTAAATTTTATTTCTTGGACAGCACTTCAAATCTCATTTAAATTATTTTAGCTTTAGCTGTGCTGCTTTGTGTCTGTTCTACACATATCTGGTCCTGGGGTCAGCCTAAGATTTGGACCAAATTTATATTCAGAATTTGACCCTCCCCTTCTCTGCACTCTTCTGGCTGGGATCCCCTCACCTCACTTTCCTGTGACTGTGGTTTTGCCCCAAACTTTGTCCTGTGGTTCTTCAAGTCTAAAAGACAGTAGGTTTCTACTTCTTGTTTGTTATCCTCGTATCTTTCTGTAAAAGCTGATGTGGTTTATAAAGCTATATATCTATTTTTGGTATTGTAAGTGAGGGAGGAATGGGAAAAAGAATATAGTAATGATAAGGGGCAAAGAACAAAGGTAACCGGAGTTAATATAATGAGGTAACAAAAATCTTTAGGCCTTTCTCTGTTATATTCTCATCTCAAACTTGGATTTCACTTTGACCTAGCTTCCTACCCTCACACTGAATGAAATTTTGCCTATGGGACCAATTCTCTGTGTGGAGTATGCAGATTTCATGAAGTATGTTCATTTGGAACATATAAAGTTCATGTATCTCAGGGGAATCATAGAAGTAAACTAGAAGAGATAATGGAATAAACCTTAAAGTATGAGTACAGACCATAGGGTAGGACTTCTGAGATGAGAGATTTCAGTTAGGACAAAGGATGCTTTATTTGCCTGCAAAATTTTAAATACTTGGGGAAACTACTTAGAGTATTATTAAGTCATATTATTGGGCAGTGAAGACATCTCAAGAAATGATTGAAAGTAGTTTTTCTGTCTTCTAATTGTAGGATTTATTTCATAAATGAAGGGAATATGGCACAATGAGATTTTGCTAATGTTTGCCAATGGTTGTTCAGCTCTGTGAACATGTACCTTTTGTGAAGACTTAGAAAGAATAACTATCCAAGTAAAGGGAAATTTTTTTTAAAAAGTGTTTCTTGATTTTATAGTCTTAATTTTTATGACATTTTATAAAAAGTATGGGAAATCCCTGTGTAACTGTTGTTCTCGAGTTCCATTTAGTTTTGGGGTGGCAAATTTTTTCATTACATTTTGTTATTGAATGAATAGAATATAAAATGGACAGCTTTCACTTTTTTCTAGGGTGTCTATCTTTAATATCTATATTTTAAAATTTAAGAATAATTTGTACAAATAAAATATTAACCTTTAGTTAATTTTTATGACAGACTTAATGATTGATATAGAATATAATGTGTGCAGAAGATTAAAATGTTTGAGCATAGTTTTCTGAAATGTTAATATTTTAGTGAAATGAAGCTTAGGTTTTATTCCTTTTTTAAAATTTACATGGTTTTTGACTAGTTAATCATCCATTAGAATGGTTCAGAAATAATATGCCTAAAAATGAAACAATGTAAAGGCTCACTCTTCTGTTTCCCTTTTGTCTAGTTCTCAATTCCTACCTCTGCCCCACCATAGGTAACCCATGTTGTTTGTTTTGTGTTTTTCTTTTGAAGAGATGCACATATGTACACAGAAAAGAGACTGACTGTTTTCCATTCTAGTTCCTGGAGCTAAAGTTGCATTTTAATAATGTATATGTGTATATCATTCTTAATACATTTTGTGGTCTCTGTGGGCCTGGAGATATTTTTAACATCACATTATTGGATTCAGTGCTTTTACTTTCTTTACAGAGTTGTGCTAATGTGGTTGTATTGTTCTATAGGAAGGATTCATTATCTGGAAAGTGCTCTAGTTAAATATTTTGCTGCTGGCAATGTGATTTTTTAGATAGGACTAAAGATTTTGTTATTGATTCTTTTACCACATAACTGACTAACTCTGGAATTGTAATATAAGAATTTGATAGGCAATAACATTTACAATTGTTTAACTTTGTTTTTGGGAGCTTTGGTGGCGTAATGCCTAAAGCAACCAGAAGGGTGGCCGTTCAAACCCACCAGCCACTCCTCGGAAGGAAGATTGGGCAATCTACCTCGGTAGTGATACTGCCTTAGAAACCCAAGGAGGGGTCACTATGAGTTGGATCCAATTAAATGGCAGTGAGTTTTTATTCTCTCTTTTTTAGGTAGGGGAGTATTTTTGGAGATACTATATGTTAAATATGTTCACAAATATAATTTTTAGAACTAATGATACAAAAAAAAAACATGCAACTAAACTTACTGCCATTAAGTTGATTCTGACTCATAGTGACTCCCATTGAGTTTCCAAGGTGGTGAATCTTTACAGAAGTAGATTTCCCCATCTTCCTTCTGTGGAGTGGCTGATGGGTTTAAACCACCAACCTTCTGGTTAGTAGTCAAATGCCTTAGGCACTATGCCACCAGCACTTCTTAGAATTAATGATAGTAACTTAAATTCTGGTACATAATTTATTGTCATGGCAGTTTACACCATGTTAAGCCTTATTGCTTACTTTATACTCTTGTTTTCTAGGCAGTGTAAAGAAACAAGTTTGTAAGAAAAAAACTTCAGATAAAAAAGGAAGACATCAGAGAGAGTGTCTTCAGCATTTTCCTCTTGAAGATATTAAGCAGCGGAAAGTATTAGACCTCAGACGATGGTAGTATTTCTATGACAGTTTTTTTTTAAATTAAAAAACATATATTTTGGCAATAATTTGCTGTTTAACAATAATCGTAATAAGTATTTTTAGTTATAAAATCCTGTTTCCAGAATTTATGTATATTAAAAGTATACCACAAATATTTGAAGTAGATTAACATTGAGCTATGCCATTGTTTCCCAGACTTCCCTAATCATAAGAATTATCTACAATATTCACATAAATCTTTTTCATATTTAACAATTTAAAATTTTGATACTGTTATATACCTATTTTTTTAGAAGTATTCTAAATAAATTTTTTGAAGTATTCTGTAAGTTACAGTTATCATCACATTTACCTCAAATTATGTAAGAATGCAACTCTAAAAAATGACTTTTTAAAAAATTTAGCCACAGTGCTATTGTCATACCTAATAAAATTAACACTGTTGCCTTGCTATCTAATTTCCATGCTGTATTTCAGATTTCCTGGGTTGTGCTAAAAATGTCTTCACCCTTGGTTGTTTAAAGTGAGACCCAGCCATGAGCCATGCATACTCATTGTTGTTGTAGTTCATAAGTCTCTTAATCTATAATAGCTCCTGTTACTCCCCAACCCCCTACTTTAGGATTGACTTACTGAAGAGATTTGGCCTGATGCCAAGGTAGAACATCTTACCTTCTGGATTTGTCTGCTTTTTTTTCCTTTCGGTTTTCTAAATTATTCATCAAATCTCCTGTAAATTGGGAAGTAGATACAAAGATTTGATTAGATTCTTTTTAAGGCAAGAATACTGCCAAAGTGATTCTGTGTACTTTATATTACTTTGTATCACAGCAGGAGGCACTTAATGTCTGGTTATTTGATATTAGAGATTCTAAGAGTGCTTATGGGATTGAGATGGTGACAGATAGCCTATCCCACATTATCCCGTATTTTTTATCCTTTTGCTACCATCAGGTAATCAAGGGGATGATAGAGTGGCATCATGCTCATATTTGGTTCCCCATCTACTCTGTACCTAATTTTTTAGCAAAATCCATTGACAGTCCTTGCCTAAACTCTTTTTTTTTTTTTTTT